TTTGGCAGGGTGAACCAGTGTTAGAGCAGTGATTGTGCAGGTGTATTTTGGCAAGGTGAACCAGTGTTAGAGCAGTGATTGTGCAGGTGTATTTTGGCAAGGTGAACCAGTGTTAGAGCAGTGATTGTGCAGGTGTATTTTGGCAAGGTGAACCAGTGTTAGAGCAGTGATTGTGCAGGTGTAATTTATGGGTGCAGTGCACTAATTCAAGCCCCAAAACAACGTCAAATCAACAAAATTCTGGGTTCAGTAAGATGTAAGCCAACATTACTGAAGTTTCTAGAACAAAATCGAAATTTTTGTCTTGTCCTTCGTTTTTCCATTCTTGGTTAATTTTTGGTAGGGTAGCCGATCACATTTTTAGTTATTCACACAAACCTTACTCATAGCCATTGTTCAAATGACATCCCTCTGCTTCCTCAAGCATTTAGGACCATATTTCAGATCATAATTTTATCAGCCTACTCTCAGATGAATGCTTTTGAAACCAGGGAGTTAATATGTCTGCATCTACACAACCCCACCATTTTTCTGCCAAATAATATGTTATTTTTAAAAAAAAAAAACTTTTCATGCTAATGAGCTCAGCAGAAATCGATGCACTTTGTCAACATATCTCAACATACAATCCAATGATATAGTACATAACTTTTCTTATTGGCTAAATGGCGACATGTAGCACTTAACAAATGTTGCCATTGGATCATTGAATGTTGATCTCATACAGCATCAAGCATTTTTCATGCCTCTGCATGTACATGTATTCTTGTACTGCTCAGGCCTGGATGCGTTTTCAGTATTCTAAAAAATATCCTACATAAAAGCTTTCTAAAAATTACATAGAAATTAGTATTAGTATTGGAGCCGTTAACCCATGCCAATGCTATGGACCTTGGTGACTGTTGTCAGTCCGCTCTGCAAGTATCATAGCAGTGGGCCCGTACATGTACCGATACACCTATGGCCTAGGTACCACTTTTAATACCCTGCCATTGATCACTCCACAGTTTTGGTATTTCCCACTCTTATTGAGATCACTGAAAAGCAGTGATTTCTCAGTCATGTTTATAAACCACATCAAATATTTTTTTTTATTGATGAATTTTAATTACAGGTATGTGGCATTAAAATAATTTCACCAAAGGTCTAACACATCAATAACTAAAATGTATGTTCAGTGAAAACTAAATGAATATTTCATTTTATGCAATAAGACAAGACCAAAATGACAAACCAATGGGGGAAAATTTTGTGCACAAAAAAAGCCAGCATTTCGGCTGACATAGTAGCCTTCTCAAAAATAACACATCTCTGGAATGTAAATGCTGCATTACTGCGGCAATAACGTAAGTTATTTCCTGTGTTGAGCCGAAAGCTTTCACCACACACTCACTGTGACCATTGCGTTCTCCATAATTTCCATAATAAGGCCTTTTGTTTATAGCCGAGGGCTGGTTGCCAAGGCTTGGAAAAATAGCAGCCAACACGGTCAAACCACTGTTCCTGCTTTTTGCAAAGGTGCCTTACGTGGCTAGAAATTGTCAGTGTCCCAGAGCGGCTTCTGTGCCGGTGTGGCTAACATGACGACTTTACATCTTAATTTGCAAATTTTGGCATGTTGCAGCTTTATACTCTGCCTAGCCTATATTCTGAAAATCACAGTATTTAATGAAATGTTTTCAACAATCCATCAATCAGATGACTGGGATTTCAGTTGTACTCTATCAAATCATAAAGCTCACAAGCAACATCATAGGAATCAATGTACAGAAGCGTCAGGTAAACACACCTTGTGATAGCATGATAGTAGTAGATCTTGCCTTCTTGGTCTCTAGCCGTTCTCCAATTAGGGGGCAGCTGCTGTGTCTTTGGCTTGGAGGGTGGTGATGGAATGCCTTGGTTCAACTGCTGCTGAATTTGCTGTGCCTATGGATTAAGAAAAAAAATATTATTACCCATAACTCTCGATAACATTGTTGAAACCCAAACATTTCATCTTTTGGGTTTCTATGTTAGTCTGATATGCAGTATATCTAAAGAAGCATTTTCCTACCACAAAGTAATATTCAGGTCAACATCGTGAGGAGATTCAGATTGTGAAAAATACATTACTACGATGAAGAAGTTTACATTGTTGCACTGTTTCCGAACAAGTGGGTCTAGATACAAGAACTTACATTGACAGGTTCCTCCCGAGAACATTTGTGTGTTTTTTCTGTTCAACAATGCCACAGAATGAATACAATCTACCAAATTGATGATTTGAATGGTTTTTGAGAGCTGCCACTGCAATGTGAAGCACTGACCTAACTCAACTACTGCTTGTGACCATAACAGAACTGTAGAAAAATGGCTATCATAAAAGCCGTTATCACTGCTACAAAAACATTCAACATTTTGCGTCCTTGTTTTAAAGTCAAACTACAAACCTGATGGATATTTGTCTGGACATTGCTTTCCGTGTTAAGTGGCATAATGGTCTGTGTGACGAGCATTCCATCAGGGGTCACAAAGGTCACTGTCTGTGCTGGAGCAGTGGGCTTAGGCTGTAACAAAGTTTAAGCAAACACAACCAATTCTTCACGCAGATATCACCAGGTGGCAGTATATGTGATTAAAATTGTATTACATGAATACAAATGTGTAGATTATTCGTAATTTTTACCTAACATAACAATGTACTTGAATTTAGTAAAAGAATTCAACAATGCATCTGATGACAGCATTCTCATTTACAATACTTCAGGGAGCAAAGGTTTTGCTTCAACCTGTGTGACGGCAATTAATGACGGCTCTGTATACAAAAAGATCACTGAATACAAGTTAACAATGAACCTAATCTGATTTTGTCCATAAAAATGCATTCTCTTGTAGTACAGTAGAGAGTACTCCTAGTTCTCCTAGATTCCCTCCAAATTTACCAGGCGGCTTGGGAGAATTTAATGGGACTGAGGCAGGTGTAACCTTTCCACTTTTTACAGGACTTGATACCTGTACATGTACACTGTGTGGTTATGCTCAATTCAGTTTGGTCCCAACAGGAATGCTGTAACAAGTATGCACTGCAGCAAAACCCACCTGTGGCTGTACTACCTGTTGCTGAATAACATGTGGCTGTGCTGGAAGTGCTGCTGACTGTACCTGATGCAGTTGGGACTGGGGTTGCTGAGGTACCGTGTAATTAGGATGAGGTACGCCAGAAACTACAGGTATATGGTTTGGATTGGGGCCTGGTGGAGCAGGTACCCTGAACTGAGACTGTGGTAGTACTGTCTGAGGGTGATGGCCTTGAGGTGGGGTAGGCTCCCAACCCTGCTAAAAAAATCCATCAAACTTAAAGTCTGCTGCTCTGGCTTTTGTGATGTAATAAAAGGCGCACATATGGATGTTTAATATATTTTTATATTCTTTTATAATGCTGGGTAAATGTTAACTACAGCCAGTTTATACGAGTCAAAATAATGTCCTGTATTAGTTGAAAAAAGTCCGATTTTCACCTTGTGGTACGACAATTGGTAATTAACTTTCACAGAATTATGAAATTATAAAAAGGAATTTTAAAAACGTGCCGATTCCTTAGTTTAAAACATAGTTGAGTTTACTACCTGAAGGTCTTGGTCTGCTATAACATGCATTCCCTCAGCAGGTACAACGTGTGGTGGCCCCTCCAATCCATGTGGGTGATGCATGAGTGCATCCTGTGGTAGTCCCATATCAGGTTGTGAGTTCTCAAATGCTGGTTGTCCATGCACTGGTATGGGCATTCCATTCTCATCTACTGGTACCATCTCTTGAGGGTGTGGAATCATGTCATGATAACCAGGATGATTTTGGTTCATTTGGTGTGGGAAAACCCCATCTGGAGGTACAGTAGTATGTTCCATGGGAACTCCCTGGTTAAGGTGCATCATATGCATCATGGGATGATTTGATTCTCCATCAAATGGAGGTGCAATTGGAAAGCCATTTGCATCCACAAAATGAATTTGTCCATCTTCATCTATAAAATGTGGATGCTGCCTCAAAAATTCCTCTTCCTGTCGTTTGCGCAATTCTTCCTCCATATCTGCTTGCTCCACCTGTTTCGCAAAGCGTTGCCTCCTTTCCTCTTTAGAAAGCCCAGGCCTGTCAGTCTTGGCCTGTTTCCCTTGTGATCCTTCAGTTTTGGTTGCTGCTTCAATCTTCCAGGGCTTTCTCAGCTTTGGAAGTGTTCCTTTTGATGTGTCTGCATCCTTTTTCTCTGTAGTTTGGGCAGGCTGCTTGTCTTCTCTGTCTTTGCTGGCTGATCGACTACGCCTCTTCCTGTCTTCTCTCCTGTCCCAGCTTCGCTTTCTATCCCTATCATGGTACCTGTCACGTTCCCGACTACGTGCCCTTCTGCTCTCTCTATCACGATGTCTGTCTCTGTCCCTGTCTCTGTCTCTATCATAATCTCTATCATACTCCCTATCCCGGCCATATCGCCTGTCTCTATCATGCCCTCTATCACGGTCTCTATCCCGATCTCTCTCGGTGTAATCTCGATCCCGCTCACGATCTCTGTTTTTAGGTATCCTGTAGATTTCCTGGCAATATAAAATTTAAATACTCATCAACTTTTCGATGGTCAGCACGATCTTAAAGCCACTTTACTGACAACCCACTATTGTTTTTTGAAGTTTTTCATATTTCAATTTTGCCAGCTCAAATATTTTTTAAATAACAAACATGTAAATAAAACAACAAACCAAACACTGACCGAATGACCTACTAACCAATCACAGAACAAAAAACAAAGTAAAAAGAAAAGCTTTACAATTTATTTTGAGCATGTTCATGAGTGTTGGGAGCAACTGCATATTTCAAAATCTGAATAGTCAAATTCTTAAAAGCAAATTTATATTGATATGAAGTTAAAATAATTTCCAACTCCAAACAAAGCTCACCCAAAATTCACCTCTATGTAGCAACACAAATCATCCATCATGTGCACACATGATGCAGTGGTGCATGGGCCTTTTTGTTCATGGCAACTACTGCATTGGTGCATTGCTGATGTTACATGCATCATGATTCCTGAACCTCTGATTATTTTTATCAGCTTTTTCCTCAACCCAAAATGTTGCATTTAAAGAGGGCAATAACCGAATAATCTAATCAGTACTGATCTGTGCAGTCAGTGATATTATAAAGCTTTGACTCCAAATGGGGTGATGGATCATTTCCAAAGCACCGTTGTTCATCAAATGAAACTTCAGAATGGTCACTAGTTTTCTTACATTGCTGTTATTCAGTGTTACCGATCAAAAGCAAATGACAAATTGAGCCCAATACACTTTTTGACAACTTAATTCATTCCCAAATGTCTGCCTTGATCTCCAAAAGACAGGTATTGGGTGAAACCAGCAAGGTGCACCACTTAGTAGCAAGAAGCAACTGACATCCAGATATACTATAGGTCTCTATCACAATACAGTTGAGAGGACTGACAAAAATGTGAAACTAAACGTCATATCAACGACCAACTACTACAAATACATGGACAACAAAACGAACTTTGGCCTACTGGAAGTCCAAAACACAGCCGATGATCAGATCACAAGTACATGTAAGGCTTGAACACATTGAGACACTGCTGCACTTAAGGTCTGTTTATTATTCCTAGATGACATCTTGGATATATGCTACATGTGCACGCTTATGAAACCATTTTGACGCTGGTTTCCTACTTTGACTGGTGACGTTGTGTGGGAAACAAACTGAAGTCAGTTCTTCAGACAGGATTTAAGCATACATCTATTTTGAAGGATGCTGCGAATATGAGGACAGTGCCCCACACCACGTGTAAAGCAAATCATTGTACATGTGTCTTGCAGCATATGGAGATAACAAAGCACTGTATCTTTTGAAAGTTTTAGTTGCGGCAAGTTAGCATGTGTTACAAATATTGACATTTAAACCACCCTGCTTGATGAACTTTGCACCGCATCAAGCAAACCATACCCACAACCCAACATAAAGGATGGTAAAGTGGAACAAACGATGGCATGTGGTTACATTCATTATCCATGGCATGTGCATATTTTAAACTGAAAATAACAAACCTTTAAAGACCTCCATGCTTCCAACAATTTTCCAGCTACTGAAGCAATTCCTGCTGTTTTATCAACTTTTGTTCCAGCATCAGCTAAATCAGAATCAGATCCAATATCCTGCTTGCAGCTGGCTTGTCTCTTGTCCTTATCTTCTGATTTCAGCTCAGTCTGTTCACAAGGCAGCTCTCCTTCTTCTAGATTAGTTGGCTCGGTTGGTGGTTCTAATGAGGTATTTTTTGTTTCAGTCAATGTTCCACAGTCACCAACAATCTGTGATGCACTGCTGCCTTCTGGGGAAGAGCTCTTGGTATTGGTGACTGTATCAGATTCAGGGTTAGATACTGAGGTGACAAGTGAGTCTGATTGTGTTTCTGAGGTCATGGTTGCTGGCATTTGAGACTCATCTGTTGTAACACTACAGTGCTTCATGGCTTCAACCTCAACTGTTGCTTTTATCTTAACAGACTCAACTGACTGGCTCACAATTTCAGACTGTGTCACACTAGAAGACTCCGAACACACTGGTGATTTAAGGACACTTTGTGATGAATCCATTCCCTCAACAATAGAAGTACTGCTATCAACTTCAGTTTTCTGATCAATCTCATAAGCTACTGTTTCAATCTTCTCACACTGTATGGGAAATGCCGAAGCATTCTCGGGCATCTCAACCATGACTGGCTGTTTCAAAGGAGCTTTGTCCAAATCACCGTCACTCTCTGAATTCAGACTGTCTGTTAGTTTCACCATGTCAGTGGGTGTGTTGCGACTGGCAATTGTGAGGGAGACAGGTGTAGCACAACGAGAGAGAGTTTCACTTGCACTTGAATCTTCTACCTCAGTTTCTGCTTTAGAGGCATGTCTAGCTTTTGACCACCTTTCAACCATGGAGAAGATCTTGCTATCCTCTAATGCATTCTTGTGAGGTATGGGTAACTTCATGAGGGTGTGGAGAATCTGACGAATATACACAAAATATGATCAATAGAATACAAACTATACTTATTTGGTAACTGTTAAATATAGGAAATATTAAAGTTACGGTGCTTCAGAAACAAAACAACACAAAACCAAATGGTGTTTCAAACAAAACAACACAAAACTAAACGGTGTTTCAGAGACAAAAACAACACAAAACCAAACGGTATTTCAAAACAAAACAACACAAAACCAAATGGTGTTTCAAACGAAACAAAACAAAACTAAATGGTGTTTCAGAGACAAAAACAACACAAAACTAAACGGTGTTTCAGAAACAAAACAACACAAAACGGTGTTTCAGAAACAAAACAACACAAAACCAAACGGTATTTCAGAAACAAAACCAAACAAAGTTTCAGAAATAAAACACAAAACCAAACAGTGTTTCAAAACAAAACAACACAAAACGGTGTTTCAGAAACAAAACAACACAAAACCAAACAATGTTTCAGAAACAAAATAACACAAAACCAAACGGTATTTCAGAAACAAAACAACACAAAAACCAAACAGGGTTTCAGAATCAAAACAACACAAAACCAAATGGTGTTTCAGAAACAAAATAACACAAAACCAAACGGTTTTTCAGAAACGAAACAACACAAAAACCAAACATGGTTTCAGAATCAAAACAACACAAAACCAAACGGTGTTTCAGAAACAAAACAACACAAAACCAAATGGAGTTTCAGAGACAAAAACAACACAAAACCAAACGGTGTTTCAAAAGAAAACAACACAAAACCAAACAGTGTTTCAGAAACAAAACAACACAAAACCAAACAGAGTTTCAAAACAAAATAACACAAAACCAAACGGTGTTTCAAAAACAAAACAACACAAAATCAATCAAGCACACAACAGAAAGTACAGATTTACATTTGTGAAGTGACAAACTGCATGAATTGCATGCCATTTAAGCCAGACGGAAAAAAGGAGGTTCACGAATGTTTAGAACATGACTGACAATTGACAAGGAAAGGTTTCTGAATTTTACACAAAAAAAATATTCACAATGTCCTAATCTGTTATGACCAAACTATGGTCATTAGTGTTGGACGAATCCTGTATTTTCAAAATCAATTCCAAGTCTATCCTGGAACAATGATTCTACTCGGAATGGATTCCAATGACTTATAGAAGATGCCGACCACAGGTTATATGTTTAGGGTTGTTCATTACATGCTTATTGAATTCTCCAGAGTCTTTAAACCCCACTGTAAAACATGACTGATTGATTATGTACCTAATTTTATTGAAATGGGAAATGTTCATGTGATATTGGCACACAATTTAAGGACAAAGATTATAAATCTGCAAAACCTTTTTTTATATTTAAAAAAAAATTTCACACATTTCACAAGCATGGATATACCATGAACTTACTTTAGCTATAGTTTATTCCATCAAGTCCCAACAAGTGTAAGCTTATTCAAACAACAAATAGCCACTCTTTTACCATTCTAAAAAAACTTTCAGAGGGAACATTGAAAATCGGATGACTTGTGTTCCACACCGAATCACTCAAATGTGCGTGCATGTGATCACTGGTAAAAATTACTATACAATACAATAACAATCACAATACCTCCATTTTCAACTCGGGCTCAGGTTTATCACCGATGTCTACCATCCAACTCCATAAAAGCTTCAATCCATGATGGGTCAGGAAATGTTTCAAGCATGTCTCATCTGTCGTGTCCTACATGAAAATAATAATGCTCTGTGAGTTTCGCCATTTTCAAATGAAGTGCCTGCAGCCTGGAGAAACACAGGAGGAAGTAAGGTCTTACTAGCATCACTTTCTATAAGTTTGGTCTCTAGAAATCTGGACATTAAGTAACCTAGAGCATGTTAACCTCTCTGAAATGTAAGCTACATGTCAGGTTGGGTTGACGTAGTGGTTTTTTTTCCCTCGCCTTCCACCTCTGCAGCCCAAGTTTGCTTTCCAGCTTGGTCAACACTTGGATTGGGTTTTCAGTTCCTGTCTGATTCCATGAATTGTACCCAGAATATTCCTCTGGGGTTTTCCTCCCACCTCTAAAACTGAAACTGCTTCTCACTGTTACCTCTCTACAGGTTTCTTCAGACTTGTGAGCTACAATACCTATAGATCTTTTGAGGAATCTGTGGTTTCATTGCCAGAAATATGAAATGATAATGGTGATACAAAATTTTAATAGCATAGCATTACCCCAGTTCAAATATGCTGGAAGCAGCCAATTTTGTACACTGAGAAATATAATGCAAGTCATTACTAAAACATTGCATCTGTAAAGTTAGGTCTAACAAGTGCCAGTGAGACCAAATGACATCACCTCTAAGATCTTAAGAAGTTGTAGTCTAAGTGGTGTTGTTTCAGCCAGCACCATGTGTCGAGCAAGTGTTAATGTTTGATCGTTGGTCCTCAAGCCTCCTCCATCAAGCTCAGAACAAAGCTGCTCAATCTCATCATCCAGCTACAATAGACACAGCAAACAGGTTTTAGCTAAAGCAAAATACCTTGCATACTTCAAGCAGAGTTTCATCTCAAGGAAGGGAAAAAAAACAGAGTCATCATCTACAACATACTGTCCATGTGGATATGGTGATATGGCTATTCTGAAGAGCTTTATCAATGAGGAAATGGAAAACAGAAATTCCAGAAAACATGTAAATGGAAATGCTGACTTTAAAACATCTTGGCCTAAAACAAAAGCAAACCAAGTAATACAAGAAAACCACTAAATTCATGCAAGTATCAGCATCTTGCCAACTGTTTAAGGACGAAGCACAATTCATAAATACCTAAGACAGTCTCTCTATTCAACAACGTGCAACCTGACTGTGTATTCAAATTTGATAATGCCCGCTGAGAAGTGATAATGACTGCTGCATAAATCACACCCTGGCACCTGGATACAGGACAGTTTAATTGATTCTGATTGGTCAAGAGTCTGTGTGCACGCGCCTCACCACGCGTGCACCTAGTCAATATGAGGAGATTCTTTTGGACAACTTGTACAAGGAAAATATCATAAAATGGACATTGTGGCACAGTTGTTTTCTTGGATTACCATCAATAAACACTTTTCAATGTCGGAGAATACATTTTTAAAAAGTTGTCTGGATTTGAGTAATTAAACGGGAATCCCGGAGGCATGAAGTCACGAAGTACATGAAATATGTGTATTACAACAAACTTAACTTGCTCTGCTGTGGCGACATGGGTTACTTGCCCACTTTTTATTTATTCTTGTGGTGTAGTTTGGCATGCAAAAAATAATAAATACTGAGATACTACATGTAGTATTTTGTAACCGAAAGGTTTCTTTCTACCGACAAATAAATTCAACTGCTTAAATTGTACATTCCCTTGGAAGACAAAAAGTGTGAAAAGATTTTCCCATTTTGGTGTTAACTTTCAATCGCAATGTACTGTAAAAAGGGGTGTTCCCATTTGCCGAGCGTTGTAGGCATGTGCGTATATTTAACAAGTGCCTTTCAAGTGTGTATTTGAACATGAGCATATTACAGATGTGCAACATCCACACTTCCACCAGTGTATTTGTTGTGTTCTTCCTCCATGCCAGTGTATTCAATTTACATTTCAGTAGCCTTTCATTTCCTACAAGTATACTCATAGTTGCAGAATCCGGTACAGCTGTGATTACGAGTATACTCTCAGCCGGCAGTCAAGGTCTCAAGTGCATACATCCATGCATGACTCTAAGTTCACTTCTTCAACACATGGCCATCTCTACACGGATACTCGAGATATTTACAAAATTTCTTTGAATAGTCAAAATCTACAGAGACACAAGCAACTTACAGAAGCATCTTCAAAGCTCTCCTTGCGTCTGCGATCCAAATTTTCTTTTCTCTTAGGTGTTGCATCCTTGCCCGTTGCTTTTGATGTTCTTTTCTGCTTTCCAATAAAGCCACGGCAATTTGTCGAACCACACAGACACTTCTGTGCATGCTCACTATATACAAAGGTGGAACAAACAGCAGTCATTTCAAAAAGTACCCTCTTTAGACCACTTTGGTCAAAAGACAAAAACTCAAAATCTTAAATACTATTAGGCTTGTCAATATCATTACTACTAACAGAAAAATTATTAACTTGGGGTCTGAAGTTTTCATATGTTCCTTCAAAAAAGATTCAACAATGTTCAAGTGGAAGTGAGTGATTTAAACTATTATTATTTCAGACTGCCCATTGCTGTTTACAGAAACAAACACCCATCAATCTCCCTCAAAGAAATCATTAGTCTGCAAAAATATGCATTATCTGTACATAAACAGGGCTATCAACATTGTGGTTGGCACATGCTTATCAAATGTTGTCAGGTGTTTCCATCTTCTCAAAGGTGAAATCTGACTCAGTTGAACTCAGAAAATTTGTAGGCTACTTTAATAATACAATTATGCTAAATAAATACACCGATCACTTCCCAATGAATATTTAATAGAAACATCTTAAAATCCCAGTACTCTGTAACAAAATAGTGCACAATCATGAAATGTCCTTAGACATGTACAAAAGTCCTTCAACCCTTTACACCAATATTAACAATAATCAAAAAATTGAAAATAAGCGTTTGCTAAAAGTAAGACTGACTGTGATTGCAGGAATACATTTTGTGCTTACCCGTACTGCTCAAACTGGTAGTCAAATGTTAACTCTGTTCCAGCAGCAATAAACTTCTTCGTGAAAAAGCCAACACGAATTTGACCATTTACAGTCCACTGTAAGAAAAACAATTGTTTCCTAATTCAGCTTTGATTGTCCTGTATATGAAAATGGTTCTGCAAAAACAAACAGGTTAACTGGGGGAAAAAACAACACAGGAAACCTAATGACAGGAGTGTAAGACTTTGACAATATCTTTACATGAAGCCAACCAAGAATGCATCTCTGCAGACGCCAGTAGAGTGAAATCACTGCGATATCAAAAATATTGAAGTGACTTAGTTTGGAATCATATGTAACTATGAGTCCTTTGTGTGCATTTCATGTGTGTTCTCAAACAGTATGTCAATAAAATGAAGCAATAAGAATCAATGACCCACACTTAAACCATTGCTGTACTCGCAGGACCTGATTGTGAAAGAGCCTGCAACAGTAATGCCACTCAAATTTGGAATTACTTAAATTTATCTTTATCTCCTGTGAAATTTAACTTACCAAGATTAACTGTATTTGCACTGTCAGAGTTTATTCTTTAATTTCAGCACAAAGTACGTCTTTGGTTCATTTTACTGTACAAACTATTCCCGACATCTATGTTGCCTCTGTGCTTCCAAAAACATGAATTTGTTTATAGTACAAGGAATACTGATTTATTTTTTCGTTCAGTTGGAGTACAAGCAGCATAATGCAAGTAAGCAGCCTTTTTCAAGAAATTTTTCTTATATCTACCCCTTGTTTGGTATGGTTTACATTACTTGCACTCTTTTCTGCTGTAGTTTGTACCTTTAGAAATGGGCAGGTGCAAGAGTGTTTGTAAAATTGTAAGATGTTGCCAGATAAATTTTTTGGTTATAAGAAACCAATGGTGCCCTTGATAGCTGCATTGTTTGGAAGACTGTGCAACACATTAGCGCCACGTTTAGCTAATCAACAGTGACTATGTAATAAACTTTTTACATTGCCACTTTGCGTGTTAATAATGCGATCAATGTAAGGCAGTATCCGATCAAAATTTATCACAGTTAATTCTAATTGTGCAGTTATCTCAATTTAATTTCCATTCCCTAGCACTTTATGTTTTGGGTAGTGTATGTAAAACTTATTGTGCAAAACTCAAATGTTACAATGTGTCCACAGTCGCGATGCATCTACTTCCTTTTACTTTCAACTGTAGATGTAAGGTGGCATCATACTCTATATTGTCACTGCAAGGACAGGCTGTTCTTAAAGAAAGAGCATACATAGACCTATATTCCCTCACATGCTCTGAGCGGGTACAATAGAGGGCATGCTTTCACATGGTAACACAGTCCTTTGCTGGGAACTACCATGTGCATACACGTACACACAGGTTTAACCACTTCATGCCGGGGCATTTTTCAATGTTGATGATGCTGAGCCAGCATGACTTATTTTTTCCGTTTTCAAAATCCTTCAAAAATTCATCATTTCATTTAACAGGCATTTATAGCCGAACGTAGTAATCTTTAAGCACTACTCTAAGTTGACAGGTGACCTTCATTGACGCCCCAGTATTTCAGCCAGGCCTGCAGCCTTGTAAATAGAGCCCAGATTGTGCGGTGTTACATAACTTTCTTTTGTTCACGAACCTGGCTCAGTGCACTGCCGACCTCTTTTTAATAGGGGCCAGATTAGCATGCAGCGGTGCTGTGTGGCTCATTGCTGCAGTGGTGGAGCGCTTTTGTCCCCAGTGGTAATCCGCTTGCTCTAAATCCCCCAAACCCTGCTACATGGTTTCAAAACCAGGCTGGATTATTACCACTTTTGAGAGTGAAAAATGTCAGTAATGCCCAGCAGCCTGGTCTTTTGTTAGGAGTATGGTCTTTTGTTACAGGGCCCTGTTTCCTTTGTCCGAGTTCGGAGACCCCGGCCATGCATATAAACCATACGTCTCCGATTCCGGAGCAGGAAGTGGTTAAAAGTGTTTGGAACAGGATATGGAATAACAGCCTACACACTTGCATCAAGCGCTTGCATCAGCCCAGTTGAAAAACATCCCAGTAGCCTGTCTCTCCCTTGCTAATGAGGCTACAATTAGCTCAGGGTAAACAGGACTAACTAATATTATTTCTGTATTTCCAAAATATGAGCTGGTGTAATTCCCAGTGTAACCTCTGATATACACCTTGCTCCATTAACCACTACCTGCCGGGGATTCCAGATCCGTATGCTTTAATATGCGTGGCCGGACAAACGGGACAGAGCCTTCAAACAAAAGACCGTACTCGGTACAAAAGACCAGGCTCCTGGGCATTTCTGACATTTTTCACTCTCAAATGTGGAGATAATCCAGCCTTGTTTTGAAACAGTATACCACAGTATGGGGCATTTAGAGTGAGCTGATTACCACCCGGGACAAAAGCGCTCCACCTCCGCTGCGATGAGCCACACAGCACCGCTGCATGCTAATCTGGCCCCTATTAAAAAGAGGTCAGTAGCGCACTGAGCCAGGTTTGTGAACAAAAGAAAGTTATATAACACCGCACAATCTGGGCTTTTTTCACAAGGTTGCAGGCCTAACTGAAATAATCAGGCATCAATAGATTTTGCCTGTCAGGCAAGAGTGGACACCAGACAGTCCTTCACATGTTTGTAAGTGTCCAGTAAATGAAAAAAGGAATTTGAATATTTAAAGAATTTCGAAAACAGAAAAAAATTATAATTATCCCGGACCAGCATCATCATCAACATTGATAACTGTCCCCGGCAGGAAGTGGTTAAAGAGGCTACTTTATACAAACAGAATCATCTGACTGAAATATTATACAGTAAAGGTCAGAATTTTAGCCGACAAGTAAACACGCTTAGCATGTCAGCATGTATCGAGTCAAGCAGACACGAAAGGAGTTAACTGCAAACATGAAACATGCTAATCCCTGCATAACAGAGAACGCCACCACCGCTATCCGATCTGCCAAGTATAAACATGCAAATGCTACACGCAAAGCCCAGAACAGCCAGGCCTTTGTTGACCGGAACAGTCATTTTCCTTGTTTCCCAAACGAAAAGTATTTAGTTTGACTGCAGCTCAAGTCATCTTCAAATTCCAGGGAAATGTGGTCAGCACATGTTGTTTACTTTATATGTAGCCGGCATCAAAATTTGCCACGCAGGCAAACATTTTTGGTTAACCACTTAACAATGGGTAAAATATTCCCTGCAGTGGGCGATGTTTAATGATTTTAATTTTGACCATTATTCACCATACTTTTAAAGGAAAAAAATCACCCAAGAAATGCATGTCATGTAATGAGAGTCAGAAGACAAGGAAGCATGGCCAGGGCGCTTTCAAAAAATGCTATTGTTATGTTTATTGTGGTGTTACATAACAGCTTCTTTGTTCACCCACAGCCCTGCCAGGAAGGACAAAAAATGGGCAGACTGGGCAACACGTTCTGTCGGGCAGGCTGGCCTAGAGCACTGTGGTACTTCATGCCATTGTACTTCACAATAGGAGGAACACAGCCTATGGTGACTCACAGCAGTCGGTGGGCCCCACATGAGGCCACCCAGCTGTGTGGGTCAGAAGAATATGGGCCTAATGGGGTCAACCAGCCCTAAGTGGTTAATGTCTGAATTGCTTCAAAAACAACTGAATCAGGCACAGAAAATGTTCGAGTGTGAAATTATTTTTTTAACGAGACAACTGTAACTAGCAGTTTTTATGACAAAGCATTTCCTAAATCAGAGAAAACTATTTTGTAAGAAATCCACAAAATATAAACAGTGTTTGACTTCGCCAGTCTGCTAGCCCATTTTTATTCAAGACAGCCCCACGGCAGCGATCCTAGCATACACAGATAGGTTGCTGTACTCGCACTTAGTGTGTTCAAAATCGTGTGAATATAAATTTGATGTGAGGTGGGGATTTTTTCCATCAGTTTTCAATCTTGAAGCTGGAAAATCTACCAAAAAAATGCTCTGATTGTGACAAAATTGTGACCAAACTAAACGGCAAAGATCGTAAGACGTGCATGCACCGGCTGCACTCACTCAAGGGACAAAGTAGCACCGATGTGAACTTCATAAATATGAATGTAGTGTGACATAAACGGGCTGTAGCTTTGCATTGTTGGCGCTGTATCGAAATGAGTATGCAATACACTCGTTTTGATTTATGATTGGTGGTTGGGATGAAAGCGCTGGGGTGGTTGTAGTTTTGTGATTGCTTGGTCACGGCATGGTCACGGCATGGTCCCGGCACGTCTGATGGTGTGTGGCAGCAAATGAACAAGTCAAGAGTGTTTTTCTTCTATTTACTGGAATTCTGATACATGAACTAAATTTTCAGAAATTAAGAAATACAACACTCAACTTCTTTGTAAAATCAGCTCGTTGTAATAGTTCTGGCTGAGGAATGCATTTCTTTCGTGGTTACTGTTTATTTGTGAAAAAGTTCTCGCGTAAGAAAAGCGTCGTCATCACTCCAGTCGATCCCATGAGTTTAAAATTCAAAGCTTACATTTGGGAAAAAGTTTTGTAATATCTAAACACACACGGTGGACTTTTAGCCAGTTTTAATGAAATTTAACATTTTCCAGATGTAATAAGACTGAATAACTTTCACACTCCAAAACTAAAAGAAAACGGCTGTATCATACACATTTCGATACTTAAGACGGTCATCTTGCCGTGATTTCACTTACTCTGTGCACTTCCATACAGTGTTCATGTACATGTAAAGTACATGTACAGTGTATAGTACACGTATGTGCAGTGTACATGCACACACAAAGCTGGAGTGACGGCCCTGCAAGTGAAGTAGTTCACTACATGTTGCCAGTCACCTTTGCAGTCTGCGGTCACAAGCCTTGCAGAGGTAATGAGGTCCGGGGTCAGGCTTATCGTGCATTGGACCAGCAATGTATGGTAAAACCTACAAAGCGTGTATTGAACAGTGTGTCAGGTTCACTGATAGTGTGTCGGCTAAAATTCTGACCTATTCTGTACACTGGTGAATAAGAGTCACAGCTAGTCACACGAAGAGAGCAGGGAAATAACTGACCTTCTGAGTTTCACAGTTGGGATCACAGCTGTGGTTGATGAATCGAGACATGTTGCCCTTAATGGTGGCATCAATAATCTGATAAATGTATGCACGAGAAAAATCAGATCACTCAAATTGATGACTTTAAGGGAAAAAAGAGCCATTTTGATCAATCAGAGCTACAATTAAAGAACCACACATAACAACCATACGATGGTGCCTGAGGTTTTGGTAAACGCAGCGAGTAGTCCAATGCATGGCACATGTACAGTTAGAATTTGTCGCAAGACCATTACAGTTCAATACCTAAACCCCCCACTCTTCAATAGTATTCTATTGCATTCCAACTGAACTAACAACATGAGTGTGTGGGCTAATAAAACTCAACTTACACAAGTCCTGCGTTCACTTTTATGCATATTTGGAAAATACTTCTTTTAGTTCCTACAATACTATGCCATGTAGACAAATCCACAAGTCCGAATACATTTTTCCAGAAGTCCAGAAAACCATACCAATCCAGACAAATCTCATCCCTGCACAGTACATTTGTGCTATCAACACAATCTTACCTCATCAGCTCGCAGGGCCATAAAATAGAAATGCCGTTGGTTATCTTTGTTGTATCGCTTTACACGTGACTTAAACTCGGTGTAGTTGAGCACTTCCCCACAGTATTCCATCACAAACTCATGTCTGTAAAAAACAAAAATTGACTATAATCAGAAAAACTGAAGTCCACAGTCAGATGGTGATGAAAGAGACGTGAAAACTTAACAAAAATTTGATTCACTACAAGAAGTTATAAAATAATAGGTCTTGGAAAGCACAAATGAATTAATCCTTCAGAGGGTTTAATAAAATGAGTCAACTTACGATTTCAAATCTACTTTCGTCTTTAGACCATGTCCTTTGTTTTCAGCATAAAACACACCAACATCTGCATATTGACGCTGTAGAAATAATCAAATACTATGGTTGATGCTTGTGTGGCCAAATGAAAGAAACGTGATAAGCCCTCCTCTGTGACTTTTTCAAATAAAAAAAAAAGACAAGAGTTCAAGAGCAATCGACATAATTTTACCAGATACTGCAAAATAGGGCCTTAAGTGTATATTTATATACGTAAGTGCAAATCTTTATAGTAAACAAATGCCTCCCTTGTGTCAAACTATGTTGATCCCTCCCTGCATAATTTTTGAATTCCCCAGGGTGTGTGAATATAAAAGTTTACATGCAACAAAAGTCTCCCTAAGCTATTATTTTCTCATTACAAACTTCAACACAAGCATACTGAAAACCTACCTTTGAAAACCTTTTATTAGTACAGTAGTCACCACATGGACATCTTGAGGTACTGGAAACCAAGTACATAAGTTAAAATAATACCCTTGATAATACCCACTTAGCAAAATCACGCATTTAAAGCAGTATCAACAGATCAAACAGTGAATTCCATGTATAGAACCAAACTGCCTCTACCTTGACTGACAGAAATAAGTTTAAATTGTCCTAGACTGATTCATAGACCTGAAATACAGCCCTGATCATGTGCTTCGGTTGAGATGGCATGAAGGCCATTTATGTTTTTACTGCTTCTAAAGATGGGCAAATCTGCAGCTCAAAAACCCAGGAAGACAATGCAGTAGCATCCAGATGACCAAAGCTAATTATTCTAGGTGCACATTGAGGCAATTGAGGTTTCTCTTGGCAAAAAACACACACAGGAGTAAAAACCACAAAATTAGGATTCCCTAATCGTATAATTTAGTTATTTCACATGTGCTCTTGATCAGCAGAACTTAATTTAAAAGTAAAATAAAGAGTCTGATTCAAACTACAATTTATACCATTTAGAAAAGAGTTTGACAATCTAGACAACCTAAATATTTGGCTGATGTTGGAAGGTTTGTTTCAATGGCTAAATGTATGTGTACTCTAGAGGCTGACCGGCACTAACCACTCTATCAACAGCAGTCGGTTCAAGCAATCGTCTCCGCATGCAGGAATACCACGGGCACGTTCAGACTTTGACGTTGTGCAGTCACATATCATCCGACGAGCTTCTTTCCCTGCTTTAGATTTTTTTCTGCAGTCAAGAATGTTAACCAGTTACACAAATTTCTGGTTTTAAATGTTTATTCCACAGAGCACCCTACAAGACCACAGAAAGTAAAAGATACACAATCCTTACAAGATCTTAACCTTAACTCCCTAGGGTGAGTGCAAAATCATATTAAAATTGGAGCATTCATACAGTCGTTTTCATACGGTCGTATGTGGTAATGTATATTTTGTAGTGCACATCCAAAGATTCTCACACTGTGGAACTCTGGTAGCATATACGGTAATTCTAAGGACATGTATGCATCTAAAAACTCAAAAATATTTTATGCCAAACTACTGAAACAGAACACACTCTCAACTTACTGTCTTGCCAAAAGCAAACTGAACTAGAACAAAGAAAGTTATAAATTTTGAGTATCCAAATGCACGTAACTGAAAAATCTTCCTGAGAGTAAAGTTTCACTCAGTTTACAAAACGTGGTTTGCACTAAGTCAAAGCATCCAAATACTATATTTGGAAAAACCACTATAGAAGTGTAACAAGCAAAGTGGCCCTCACCTCTCTGACACGTAACAATTTTCTGGAATATTTTCATATGCAGGGATCTCATCTCCTGTGATAATGCCCCAGGATTGGCTGCTGCTTGCATGTTCTTTGGTTTCTTCAGATGGGCTTTCAATCACTTTTTCCTCTAGGACTGCCTTCAAACTCACATCCACATCTTGAGTAGAAGTGGTAGTAGCATCGGATGACTGCTTTGTCTCACTGTCAGCAGCACTTTCATGAAGCTGTAATGGAGCCTCAGACTGATGAAGTTCCACTTTTTCCTTTCTGCATGGTCGTGGTTTCACAGTAACATCATCAGGATCTGCAAAATTCTCTTCCCATACATCACAAGTGAATTCATCTGAGTGGCTAAAAAACGGGTTCTTAGCTACAAAATCAACATATCCAAGACACTCCTGTTGCTGAGTTCGTGGGGTCACACCGCTTGCCTGCACATGACCAATATCCACTGCTGTAGGCTGAATTGAATCCAACACTCGATTCTTGTTGACTATATTTGGCATATTTAAGTGTTTTTCCAATGTCAGTTCCTCTTTCCCATCATCTTTGCTCAGGGCATGTATGTGTTTCCCATCCTGTCCTTTAGACTCATCATTATTTTTGTTGACCGATAGTTTCCAAACTTTATCTTCAGAAGCTTCCAATGGACTGCTTTGTTTGTCTTTGTCCAAGATACCATGAACTTCCATGTTGGTCTTTTGACTTATTTCCACACTTTCTGGTTCGGCATTCTGATTTGGTTCAATGCTGTCATCTGTTGCCAATGTTGTACACAATGTTGGGGGACTATGCAGCATATCTACTTCTGCACTGCAGTGGCCATTTTCGGTTGTGTCTTTACTTGTGCATGGAATGAAAGCTGACAAGATTGTTGGCCCAGTAGTTACAGGGTTATTGATTGCTGCAGTTGTTACTTCAGGACTTGATGGTGATGACATATCCGCATAGATCACAAACTCAGATGTAAGACTTGTTTTGGATACATCTACTGAAGGAATGGCTTGACTTGCCAAATTCACATCAGAGGTTAATGCCTCAAACGTACAAATATCTTTAACTTCATCAGCATGACAAAGAATGAGCTCTGAAGTCACATCACAAGAACTGACATCTTTGTCAGTTCCATTAACAGGAGCCACATCATTACCAGTGTCTGCAAAAGGGGTTTCCTGAGTAACTGTTGAAAGCCCCTGGGTATCTGGTGATACAGCTGACAAGGGCATGTTCGGAGATTTGGTATCATTTGACAATATTTGAGTAACAGAGTCATCTTGAACAGTTTCAGCAATTGTCTTCTTTTGGACTTCATCCCTGACAGCTTCACATTTTGCATTCCTATCCTCTTTGTCCAATTCTGTATATGTAGTTATCATTTTTTCACCAGATGAAGGACCCTCTTTTGATTCTTTGACTGGGTCACAACTGGCACACTTTTTGGCAACGAAGGACTCTGACGTATCATCTAGTGGAGATCCATCTGAATTATGTGAAGACCATTGGCGTTTTCTACTTGACACCACTGATGTTTCTGTAAATTCTTTGGGTGATTCAGTAAGTTTTCTTTTTTCTATTGAACGAAGGCGTATGCTCCTACGAGTGGGCACAACTTCAACATTTGATTCATCTGTTCCACATCTTCCCTTGCTGCCTCGCAATGACTTCTTTTTCTGCTTAGAAGTTTCACTCTTTTGGGCCACACTCTGAGATTCTCTGTCTTCAGGAGCATCTTGTAGGGAACTAGTGTCTTCCTCATAAGTTTGAACAGTCTTGAACAATCCTTCATTGAAAGAATCTGATATGCTTGATTGGCATGCCAAAGACATTCCTGTTGGTAAGTGTAGTTTGGACTCTTTAACCTCAAACGAAACTGATTCTCTCTGCAAAACCTTGTCTACCTCCCTTTCACAATCACCAACGGAATCTCCTGAATACAATTTCTGTGACATTACATGTACTTCAGTTTGTGTTTTGTTGGTCGGGAATGGTGAAATGTCACTTGACCAATTATTCCCATCCCTCTTCAATGAATCTTGTTGATGAGACTCCTCATTTAAAGACTGCTTATCTAATGGTGGTACTTTGGAATTTGTGCCTTCAGTACTGACAGATGTCGTAGACGTTGAGTGTTGGTTTGAATCGCTCTGCAGTTTAATTTCTCTGATTTCATGTTCTGAAGGTTCACTGGACCAAGTGTTTTTCATTTGAGCCACCTGGAGACTGACCTGCCCTGTTATTTCCCTTGTTTCTTGGGATGTCTCATATTCTGAAGCAAATGGTGAGGCATTACCTTGGATATCTGATTTTGAGTAATCCTTGGCTCTAACTGATGCAACTTCTGACGTTTCAGCATCCAACTCAGCAGCTGGTGTGGAATCAGATAGTAAGCTTGCATCTTGATGTGAAGTTTCAGGCAGTGGCTTTGAACAGGAAGCTGCTGGAGCCAGATCATGGGGCTGCTTGCTATCATCTGCACCTGGTGTGTAATTACACTGCAGCAAATAATTTTTTGGAGGAAGCATTACTGGTGGAATTTCAGTAAAACGTATCATATCCACATCCAAGTCCCATAGATCATTTCCTGAATGGGTTGTGTTCATGGTATCCTTTCTGACAAATCCCATCATCCACTCTACTACTGGCTTTTTTGTGGAAGAGACCGATTCGGCAGAAAGCTGAATTCCTTCCCTGTTAGGCTGAAGTTTACAGGATGGGGGATCTTGCACAATTCCATTTGAGTTCCCTAGGTTGCTTTTATGCTTGGATGACCTCTTGGCCAATGAAGATTCCTTGTCAACACCAAATCGTCTTGTTGCAACTGTATAAAGTTGTTTAGTGTCCTTTGCCAGTTTGTCTACAGGAGAACTATTTACTTTTAAAGATCTGGGCAACATCATATTCTCTGGTATCTTGGATTTCATATTTCTATTTAGGATGGATGCTGGCTTTTTTTCGGTCTCTGTGACTTCAGTTGGTGATGTGCTAAGTTTTGTTACTGACTGTTCCTGTCTGGTTCTTTCTGATCGCTCGTTTTCATGTTCATTCTCTGATATAGGTAGTTTTTCTTCAGCTGTCTTTGAATCAATAATTGTTTTTACTTCAGCCGAGTCTTTTTTAGGATTTGATTCAGAGACAAAAGGATCATTAAGAGCATGTATACACTGATCCCCAATATTTACATGTGGCTGCTTATCATCAGAGAGAGAGGAACCATCAAGACATGGCTCATCTGATGCTTTATCAGGGACAACCTCCAGGTGCATGAGCTTTTCAAACTCTTCCATTTCCTTTTCCAACATAGGTTTAGAATGTGCATAGGCAACAGACCCCAAGTTCGGAAATTTTCCCCCAATATCTGGCAGAAACCGATTACTCTCAGAAGATAAACTGCTCTCTTGTGCAGCTTCCGATCTTGTCATGTCGTGTGGCCTCAATGGAAACACTGAATCAGTGGAAGACACCGTGTCTGACTTTGGGGGACTCTTTTGTGCCATAGTTGGAAATAAACTGCTACCAGCTCTCCCTGGAGATGTGGCAATCCCTTGAGGATCCTGTTGGGTGGAAACAGAGTACCAAAAGAGAATGAAATATTTACTGACATTAAAATTAGCCATCCTTACGTTACAACAGAGAGATAGTCAAAAGTTCCTTCCACTTGATTTGCCACAGCACACAGACACACACACATAGGAGCCATTTGACTGATTTTGACCGATAGGACAACTCTGTCATGAATGCATCTTTACACGGGAGAGCGAACAAATATAATTTACACAAAGTAAAAAGATTCCAACGTACAGCATAGTTAAACTTGCTCTACTGATACTTGCTTCAAAATATGGCTTAGAATACAGCAGATTCCCATTATTGCATTTTAAGAGAGACTTAGCCTTGTCCAAGGCAGTTTTTGCACTTTATAGGGCTTCACGTAAGCTACAATGTATGTGGACAGACTGGACATAAATGTACAGTACAGTGCAGTAGTGCAACGCATTCACATACATACACATGTACATCTACATGTCATGGATGGTCCATCGAGTTGAAAGACTGCCTTGTTGGATCAGTAACATCTGGGTTTAATGTCTGTCTTTATTTTTTCATCCCATTTTGGATAATTTCTGGGGCCGTAGGACATACGGGTATGCTGGGTACTACTACGAATATCAACAACTTACATGTACGTGTATCTGGAGCCAATCACAAACAGCAAGCTTTCCAAGAATATGAATGATTCATTTTAGTGGATCTAAATGTATCATGTGCCCTTAAATAACACCTGACAAAGTGTACATCTTACAGCAACATCTTAGCAACATCCAAATACAAAACGATTGAGACAGCGAATGATTGTAGCTTTCTTGAAATTTATTGTGTTTACTGGTGCTTCATTCAAATTTTGTGGGCGACGAGGACCGAATCATGAATAAATTGTGGAAGCCCATCATTTAACAGGACAAACTGAGAGATAAAAACTTTCACCAATGGTGCAACGGTCCACTACTGCAGCGTTCCTTCACGGATGGTACTACTACTGGTGTTTATTAAACATGATCAATGTGGCAAACTGACAAGTGGAAAGGGGATGTCATTGTGGGTTGTATTGTCATAACCATAATGACTTTCACTGCTAATTATATAT